AGCACTCACCCCTCTTCCTCTCTGGCCAGATCCTTCTTCTGTGTGTGCCTGTCACCAGGCAGTTTGTGCAGGGTTGGGGATGGGGCACCTGGGATTCCACATCTGCCATGTCTTTCTGGAGTCTCTGTACTCAGAGAAACCCTTGCTGGGTTCATGATGATCAACCCATTTAAAAATGCTCTGGGTATAAGTTCTCACATCATCAGAAATAAGGTAGACAAGTGGGACCTCATCAAACTGATGAGCTTCTGAAAAGCAAAAGAAACCAAAAAGAGAGCAGGGAGACAGCCCACAGACTGAGGAAAAATATTTGCCAACTGTGTATCTGATAAAGGCCTAACATCTAGGATCTTCAAGGAACTTAATGCACCGAAAAGAAAAATAACAAACCCCATTACAAAGTGGGCAGAAGACATGAATAGATACTTCTCAAAAGAAGATATACAGGCAGCCAACAGACACGTGAAAAAGTGCTCAAGCTCACTCATCATCAGAGAAATGCAAATCAAAATCACACTGAGATACCACCTAACCCCATTAAGAATGCCCATCATTAATAAAACAAACAACAACAGATGCTGGTGAGGATGTGGAGAAGAAGAAACGCTTCTACTTTGCTGGTGGGAACACAAACTAGTGCAGTCTCTTTGGAAGACAATGTGATGATTTCTGAAAGAACTAGAAATTGACCTTCCATATGACCCAGCAATCCTCCTATTGGGAATATACCCGGAGGAACTCAAATCATTCTACAAAATTGATACCTGCACACACATTTTTGTTGCTGCTCTATTCACAATAGCAAAAACATGGAACTGACCATGCTGCCCATCGAAGCTGGACTGGATTTTAAAAATGTGGTACATACACAATAGAATATTGCACAGCCATAAAGAAGGACAAACATATGGACTTTGCAGCAACTTGGATGGACTTGGATTGAGTCATACTCAGTGATCTATCACAGAAACAAAGAACAGAGTACCATATGTTTTCACTTATAAGTGAAACTTGAACAATCCTAATATTATAAGAAAGGGATTGGCAGTAGTGGGAAACTGCCAGGGGAGGAGAAGTGGGATTGGCAGTTGAGGGAAACTGCTAGGGGTGGGAGGGGCATACCTTATCAACAAGGATACCTGCATAATGAGCATTTGTATATCTAACCCTGAATTGTTCGCCACATCTTTTTAAAAAATAAAATAAAATAATTAAAAAAAGAAAGTGCTCTGGGTAACTGTCTAAGCATGGCAGAATCCCTACTCTCAGTCTTGCTGGGTGAGAGTGGTACAGATCTGCTGCTCCATTGTGGCCATCTTGGCCAGCACTCTTCAACTGATTTTAGAAACAGCTGTTTCATCATTAACTCCATAGTTCAATATTTGATATTAAAGAGTATCATGAAAGAGGTAATAGACAACCAAGAAGACATAATGGCTCAGCCAATTGATATAAGTTACCCTCTATAATTGAAGTAGTTATAGTGCCAGAAAGGGAGGGTGTGCATGGACCCACTGCATGGCCTTCTACTTACCAAGGATGATCTTGCTATGGCACAGTAAATATTAAACCTATCACCAACAAAATTAACTTGAACCCCTAGTCTGCTATCATTCTTTAAGAGACTAACCAACCATTCAGAACAAGATAATTATGTTGACCCTTGCCACTCTAGATCAATTATGATCTCTCTTCACAGAAAACAACATATACACTGGCATAATTTTTACACATCCTCAGGACATTGACCATCAACACTACCAGAAGACACATAAATTGCTTAATCAAAGAGGAGTTTTCTTATAACATAACTTAGTCAAATAACTCTACATTTTAGCAAAAGAGACATGAGTTGATTATCATGAATCTGCTGACCATATCATTTACTACGTAACAGATAATAGAGACATTACTGTGCTAATAGAACATTGGAACTGTCATTTGAAGTGATAGCTGAAGCACCAATTTTTAGATACTATACTAATAAAGAGATGACTTGCTCCAGTATGTGTTATATACTCATAATACATGAATATTATATTTTGTCTTGCTCTCAATGTAAAGAATTTGAAGGGTTAGGAAGAAGGATATTCCCCATTTACCACCACTCTCTATAACCCACTTGAGAATTTGTGCTTTCTATACTTGAAAACAAGAACAAATGCCATCATTATGGCAAGGGCAATTAACCTCAATATCAGGAGAGGTAGGACTGTTATTGTACAAAATTAAATAATTATGGAAGATATAAAAGATATTTAAGCTGAAATAGAGAATTCAACAGATTTATTTTCAGGGAGAACAATGCATTGAATTGTATTAAAAACAGAAAACATTTCAAAGAAAAGTTTAGTGATCTTTAAAATAGCAGTAGAACTATATAAACATGAAAAGACAAAAAATTTTTATCAGTATATACATATCTGTAAAGGGTAAATAACTGTGCAAAGCAAACAAAATAATAATATTTTGTGGAATGTACTATCTCAATAGACATTACATATAATACAGAATAAACACAAAGACTGAAATGGAAGTTCACTGTTTTAATTTTCCTATGTGATATCTGAAAAGGTATAATATCATTTAGAATTAGACTTCAATAAGTTAGAATGAATTGTATAAACCCCGAAACAGCTAAAAACCACAGGAAAAAGACTTATCTAAGAAGTCAATATTACAAATATAAATAAATTTGGATAAGAGATAATAAACAATAAATATAAAGAAATAATTATATAGAATAAAACTTTAGTATACAAGTAAGTCCAACAAAAAAATTAGAAAAGTAACAGATGAAATCAATATAATGCAAATGATTTATAATTTTAACCAAACCCTATTTAAAATAATGACAAATGTAATTGTCTTAAATTGGCTTAAATAACCCAATTAAAGAGATTGTTGTATTAGCTAAAAAATCATGACCAGATAAATGTTATGAATAAGAAAGCATCATTAAAAATAAAGATTCATATAGATTAACAGTAAAAGGATTAAAAAACATACTAAAAATATGGTGTTATTGAACTAAATGGAAATAATAAACATTAGAGCAAAAATAATGAAATGAAAATAGAGAAAATAAATGAAATCAAAGTTAGTTCTCTGAGAAGATAAATAAAGTTTATAAACTTCTTAGTTAATTAGCAAAAAGATACACACACACACACAAACACAGAGATGGAGAGAGAGGGAGAAGGAAGAGAGAAGAGAAGGAGGGAGGGAGGAGGGGGGAGAGGAGAGA